AGAATCTAACTTTCTCTTGTCTTTCCTGTGTTATGTGCTGTGTTTAATAGGTGTCAACCCTGACATAATTTGGTCCTTCGAGCCGGATCTCAACATACCGGAAGAATTCCAGCGGGTAAGGTAGATGCCAGTAGAGACCGTGCACGGCAAGCTTCCTAGTGGAAGCTTTTCAGAACCTGTTCAAGGGCTGGCACTCTGCCTGCCTGCTGGGATCTGAAGGTTGACGAGACTCCAAGGAAAGACAACAGGGGTGAGTGATTCTTGGTTAAAAGTGGCGAGTGACTGGGGGTCATTGCGCGTATATAAAACCCTGGAAATTCTAGACTCTAACAGGTAACTAAATTAATGCACAAAATCCGCGTAGGACAGCGAAAGTCCTAGCGCAAAGTTTTCGCGTAACAGGCGGACGGAGCCTGGTGCTGTGCAAGGTTGGAGACCTTGTCCTGTTAGGCTGCGGGGCCTGGCTAATACCCGTGGTAGCGGACTGCGGAGTCCGGCGAAAAACAGGCGCTTAATTTCCGTGACAAAAAGTGTGAAAGTGAGAGTGATTGGAGGTTTAAATACCACTCGGTATTTTACCTCATATAAAACAGTAGGGTTGTAAGCAGCAAACCTCTTGTGGATGCAAAGGCAAGATTCTCCCACTCGAAAGAGTTGAAGTGGAGAATACCACAACAAGGTATTTTTAATTGCTGGCCTACTGAAACAAACTCCAGTTCATAGGACTCCCTAGGAGTCAACGAACCTGGACCAAATTTAAATAAATAAATTTTTGAAGCTAAAATAGCAAACCAAAGGTAAATAAATTAATAATTTTTCAAATTAAAATTGCAAGTACTTTAAATAATGGGAAACACGAATTCTTGTAATTCCTCACTTGCTGAGGGTCCCGAAGAGGATGAGAAGTACATGCTGTCCAGATTTCCTGGTAGCACTGTATACATGACAAAATGGAAGAAGAAATATGGAGTAGAGGGAAAATTAAAATTTGAACAATGGCAAATTGTAGTGAAAACTTTGGAGAACAGTGTAATGGGAAAAAGAGGAAGAAAAAAGGCGAAAAAGGAGGAGGAGTTGAGTAGTGCTAAATTATGGTTAAAAGAATCCGAGAACTTATTTATAAGAACGAAAGAAAGCACACGGAATGCTGTAACGGTGCAGGGAGCACAAGCTCCTGCAGCCACTCCTCCCCCCACCGCTGCAGCAGCTCCGTCTGCCCCAGTATCAGCCGCTGCAGTCCCAGCAGCACGACTGTACCCCTCACTAGACGAAGGGGCACAAGACTTATATGTTTTCAGACCCTGGACCTTAGAAGAGGCCAGGAAGGCTGTGGAAGGAATAACACCTGCAGCAGAGGATCCCGATATATGGGTAGAAGACATGACTGGATTAATTCATTCCTATAGATTAAATGGGATAGAAGCAGGGGAAGCTGCAATGTCCTCACTAGGGAAAGACTGGGCAAAAGTAAGAGGGAATTATACGGGAAAAATAACTGATCAAAATGGCAGATTAGGCCCAATAAAATACCCTATGGGAGCTAATCCAGAACTGAGTGAAGCATTCAAAGCACAATGGGATCCATTATGTGAAAGAGTCAAAAGAAATTTTCGCAAAAAAGCAAACTACCGCCACTTGGCAGGGATAAAACAAATAGCTGGAGAAAAAGTAGATGATTTCCGTTTGCGTTTTGAAAAAGAGTTTAAAATGCATAGTGGGATAACTTTTAATGAAGATGACACCAGTGCATATCAGCAGCAACTGAAAAATGCTTTGCTGACGGGCTTTCGCCCTGAAATTGGGGGATGGATAAGAAAACACCTGGTTGAAATTGAAACTGTCCCTGTCTCACAATTAACCACGTGGGCAATTCATGCTGAAAAAATCTTTGAAAAACCTAATCAAGGATTAGATGTTTTTCAGCTGGATGAATTTGGAGGTTTAGGAACCTCTGCCTTTTTCAACGGCCCGATGAAAGGCCGCAGAAAAAGCAGAGACAGAGGAGGTCGCACTAGGCGACGAACAAAAAATGATACCCCACAAAATCCACGCAGTCCAAATGGCTGCTGGATTTGTGGCGGTACTGGCCACTGGGCAAGAAACTGCACTTTAAAGAATGCTGCACGGGACAACAGGAGGGGTGGTGGAGTGAGGAGACCTCAAACAGGAGTAATCCTCAGCATGATCAGAGTTTATCACACCCCAAAAAGACAAACCACCACACCAAACTGATGAAATGGTGGACACATGTGCAGCTTGGGATACGTTAAGTAGAATCATAAAATAAATTGAATTTCTGTGCGATACCGGTGCATATATATATATATATTTTAACGTTACTAAAATTAGGTTTAAAACTCACAAGTGACAGACAATTAATTTTAAGAAATATTACTGTGGAAATGAATTAAACGCCTCTAAATATTGAAAATAATTGATAATTGAATTTAACTCAAATTTAATTTAGAGTTTAATCCTATAAAGAATCTCAAAATTGATTGAAATTGGTTTGGTTTTTGTGTGATTTTTATTGATACTTTTATGAATGAAAATTAATTCTATAAAGACAAACTGTGCTAAAGAATTGAGCAACGGATGAAATGATTGACTATTTAATATAAAATCTAAAAAACTTACATTGTTACCTCGTCTGAAATGTAAGGTTAAGTGAAACTATGAAACTTTACGCAAACCTGGTGGATGAAATTAGTTACTCTAAAAATGATTATGGGTAATAGCAATATTTTCTAGACTTTCAGTCTACAAGATTTTAATCTGGACTTCAATGATGGTCATTACATTAAAAAGGACAAATTTTGAATTGACGGATTTCAGATTTGATTTACATTAAATATGGTCATTTTTTTTTTAGCTGAACAGAAATAAAATAGAAATGTTTCACGTTGCTGAACTTAAAAGATCTTCAGCAATTATTAATTGTGACACATGGGCAATGCCATGTGTAAAAAGGGGGATATCATATACCAGATTGCCCCAAGGCTATTGTGATAGCCTACAATTTCTGCACAAGTTATGAGTGCGAGCATGTCAACATTTCAACCTCCAGGAGATAGCCAAATTTTATTATATGTTGATGATGTTTTATTAGCGTCTCCGGATATGGAAACCTGTCTGCAGGACACTTTGGCGCTTCTAAATCACTTATCTGAAGAAGGTCATAAGGTGAATAAAAATAAATTACAACTATGTAAGAGACAAGTAAAATATCTGGGTCATAATTTGGGTGCGGAGGGGCGTACCATCATGGAGGATAGAAAAACAGCAATTCTCCAGGCACCAAAACCACAAACAAAAAAACAAATGATGTCATTTCTAGGTTTGACCAATTACTGTCGAAGTTGGGTGCCTAATTATGCTGAAATTGTGGCACCTTTAAATAAGTTCATGTATAGTGAAGACCTCAAAATGTCCTCTCCATTGAAATGGTCAGACGTAGAGGAAGAGGCATTTTGCAGAATAAAGCAGGCCCTTGTGTCAACCTCAGCCCTAGCTTTACCTAATTATCAAAAACCTTTTGTTCAGATGGTGGACTGCAAAGGTCATTTTATGACCTCGGTACTGGCACAACAACATGGTGATAAAATGAGACCGGTCGCATATTACTCCTCTAACCTAGATAGTGTGGCGTGTGCGTTGCCTCACTGTGTGAGGGCTGTTTTTGCGCTCTTATTGTACTATTTCATCCATTACCACTAAGAGTACCACACGTGGTATCAGCACTATTGTTACAGACAAATATGACCTTTTTATCACCTTTTTAGCAGAACAAACAGCTAGAAGTAGAAGCCATCTAAAAGATTTACCATTAGAGAAAGGTGAAATACTTTTTGTAGATGGTTCCTCAAAGAAAGACGAACTAGGAAATACTCAAACTGGGTATGCAGTGGTAACTGATAAGACTGTGCTGAAAGCTGAAAAGCTCCCCTCACATTACTCGGCACAAGCAGCGGAATTAATCGCACTTACTACAGCTTGTAAACTTATGAAGGATAAAACAGTAACGATTTATACTGACAGTCAGTATGCATTTGCAACTGTTCATACCTTTGCACAATATTGGAAACATAGAGGTATGGTAACATCAACAGGAAAGCCAGTAACACATGCAGAATTGTTAAAAGAATTACTTGAAGCTGTACAACTCCCAAAGCAACTAGCAATCTGCAAATGTGCGGCACACACTGCAGGGACAGACAGAGTGTCCCTGGGGAATGCGTTTGCTGATAAGATGGCAAAACAAGCAGCGGAAGAGAAAGTAACAGTGTTGCACTTAGAAGAAAGTTCAATCTTGTGATCAAAAGTTCTACGTGAAATGCAACAAGCAAGTCCACAAAATGAAAAAGAATTATGGACAAAGAAAGGAGCAACAATAATATATATCTACAAAAGCGCTGACAATAAGCCTATTTTACCAAAAAATCTATATAAATGGGCTGCAATATCGAGCCATGGTGTGTAACATGTCTCGACAGGGGGAATGGTCGGACAAGTACATCAGTATTATACTACTTATAGATTTATTTCTCATTCGAAAATTTTTTGTAGAACTTGTTCAATCTGCGCAAAAAACAACATTCCACAGACTGATTACAGTGACAAGTGATGTGAGAATGACATTGAAAAACTACTGTGCTTATCATCCTTAGAGTGCAGAGTTGGTGGAAAGAACAAATGGTACTGTGAAAAGCAGATTAAAACATGTCTTGGAGGAACTAGTAGGCCCTGGACGCAATGTTTAGACTTGGTAAAATTATACATTAACATTACAAGTACATCAAAACTTACACCTTTTTAAACATTATTTCGAAGGCTGCATAGATTGTCACAGTTTAATAATCAATGGTAAATAGATGAGGAAGCTACTTAAGCTGATTATATGAGAAGCTAACTTAAATAAACAAAAACAAACTATTTTTGCCTATACTCTCATCTC